ATGTGGGAAAGTAGTATTTCAGAATATTTTAGTGCCTTGCAAAATTTGTAGCAATAGTGAATAGCACTCGCAGCCAAAATTGATTTGAATGCCTTAAATTTGGGAATCATAGTCAAGAGTCATTCCCATGTTTGATATTTTCTTTGACATGACAGCACTTTGTGTGCCATTTCATTACTCATGCAGAAGTGTTTCTCATCAAAATATGACCAGGGATTGCTATAAGGCTCAGGAGATTATCCATGTTGCTTTTATTCCTGTCATTTATTTAATCATACGATCATCATTATTATTTATTATATATTTTTCCTCAATCAGACTAATTTTTCACAGAGTGGAAAAGTGGATTGCTCACCTCTTTGTGCGGATTTACAGTGAGGAGGCTGTTGCGCGGCAGCCGTTGGGAAATTCCCGCAGCAGGAACAGAAATCCGCAAATGATCAGATGATTAGTGATACTAGGCTTATTTTTTGAATTGGAGAGTAAGAGTGTTTGCTTAAGGTGTTAAGGCGTTGTGAAAGGTTGTACCTCATTAGGAAATTAGAGATGATATTGGTTTTTTAATTAAGTTTCCAGATTATTGAGTTTATTATTAGAACTTTTAGAGTTTACCATTTATTGATTGAACTTAAAAAAAAAAAAAAAGACAAAATGCAAAAAAAAATAAAAATAAAAAAAAAAAGAGAGAGAGAAATTTTAAATCATGATAGGTTACTATATGGATAAAGTTATAATGTAAGTGAATTACTATAAAAGATTATATCATTCTATCTCGGTATTAGGATGTACACACTGACCTTTCAATATTGTTATTATCATCATCATCATTATTATTATAATTATTTGGTAAATCATAGTCCTCGTACAATAGGATTATTACCAGTGACTTGCAGGCCTTTGAAACAGATGGTGGCAGTTTTGATATGAATGAGGTGTTGGCAGGCTTTCACCCTTTTCCAGTCTGTGTAGGTTGATGTCGGATAAAAGCTTCTTTGATGCTGCTGTCCGCGGATGTGGAATTTTCCTTGAGATCAGATGATGCACATTTACAGATGCAGACACTGACATTTATATATATGTACACATATAACTACACAGTTATGAACATGTGAACAAATAGTATACAATCCTTTTTCCTTTTTTTATTTTTCATGTTATTTATTTTATTATTATTTTTTTTTTTTACAAAGCAACATGTTTTTCATTAACTACAGTAACCTTTCCTTAACACCATGTTCTTTTACAGTCAAGAAAACATAGCTTGGTTCTCCTGGCTTTCATGCACAAAATGCAATTTTCTATTGTAAATTTGTCTGATTTGTTGGAAAAACTTTGCAGTACCTTTTCAGCAATTTTGCAGTGCTTTTTTTTTTAATGAAAATTGTAGCAAATGTTTGTTTTCCAAGAATTGTGAGTAACAGCCCCAGTTTCACAATTTTACTCAGGTCAGGTGAATGATATTTTTCACTATATTTGTCTTAATGCATTAAAACAAAAAGTGGGGAACTGAGCTGTGTCTTTGGCTTTGTAGTTGATGCTGTATAAGGTGAATAGTATTTTGGATAAATGGGATTATGTATTATTTCATTTCAGGCCAGAGTAGCTCTTGAAGGAAGCTAAAAAAAAAGAAAAAAGAACGGAAGTGTCAGATTCACTCGTTTCCAGAATATCCATCAAAATGCCAGAATTGAAGTGGCTGGATGCAATTCTCTGAAGAACTTGGAATTTAAGAATATAACAGGTGTAATAGTAGGGCCAAGGTATCTGAAGTTTAGGATATATTTGAATGTGTTTTTTTACTGGATTAGCTTGAACATTTGAGAAGTTCCTGTTGCAGCAAAAATCCTTAAACCAAAGGCCAAACACAGCAACTATCATCTCAAGCCAGTGGTAGATGCTTATTCAAATATCTCTTAAACTGTAGATGTGCATTACTAAGATATGGATGCAGAATTACTCTTGTATATGCATGCCAATTCACACATAATATTGCGTCTCTCTGATTTTTATTTGTATGTCAACACTGATCTAAGCAGGTATGTAGTAATTATGGAGTATCTTTATGTGAATGAAAGCAAACACATTTCTGTGCACAAATACAGATGAATAGATATGCACATATAAAAAAAAAAGAAAGAAATTTATGAATTGTTGGTTTATGTTGTAGATTGCAACATATGTAAAGGTTATTGAATTCATGTTGTAAATGACTTCCAATTTCTATGCAGAGCCTGGAATCAAAATTCATTAGTGTTTTTGTTACTAACATTGTGATTCATATGTTTGGTAACAGTGAGTGTGTGTCCTCTTGTGGCTATCACAAGAGCTGTCTACACTTTAATAGCAACTGATTTTGCTGGTTAGGGTTAGAAAGCTTGGCTCTTTTACTAATCAGGTTGTTTGTACATGCATACACAAACATATAAACAAGCATGTACACATCTGATAGCATGCATATATACAGCATATACATTTACATACCGTCAGAGAGTTTATACACGAACATACATACACACACGAAAGATCGTTGAATTACAAAGAATTGGGCTTGGAACTGAGTCCTGAAATGTTGAATAAGGTTGCATTATACCTAAGGAATCCTAAGCACGGTAATTTAACTTCTTGCAGAGCGCTGTAGATGGTGACGCTGTTGTGGTGTAAAACAGAACACAAGCTTGGAAAAGAAGTCGTTTTTCTATGCATTTTAAGTGCATTCAGAATCCACTCTTGCTCATATATGTTTTCATATAGGGTTTGTTACCTTATATATAATTTTTTGGGTAGTCACTCATACAAGTTTTATCTCTGTGAAAGTCAATCATCAGATTCATGACTATGAATTCAGACTGTGCCTTTTTATTATTTTTGTAAATAGGTAAATCTTTTTATTTGCATCTGAAATTTTATAATGTGAAGTAAGTTTGCATCTTTGTACTTGTTTTCTTGCTTTTACTGAAAAATAAGTTTGCTGAACTGGAAAGGCAATCATATTTTGTGGTATATTAAGATATTTATTTAGCGATGGTTTTTACTTTTATGTTGAAATGTTGGGGAAAGTTGTGTGTATGGTTTTATATTGTCTCATAAACATTTATGTCCTTAGAAGTTGTATCAAAAGTACTCTACAGAGAAGATGATTTTTGTGTTGTATTTTTGTTTGTCATTTGGATAATTCTATGGATCTCGGATAAAGCAGATTTGTGTTTCATTTATATTTGAAATGTGAAAGCTAGTTGTTCTTTGATATAGGTGTTTACATAACAATTTATTTTATGTTATTTATAGTTCTCTAATTTTCTTTTTTAATTCTTAGTGCTATAATTTTTTGTATAAAGCTTTTTACGATTTACCTTCATCTGTATACCATGTCTTTGGTGTTTGGGATTTTTTTTTAAGACAAAAAGGAAAAAAAAAAAGTTCCTGTGGTATGTATAAATTTGAGTGAGTATTTGCAACCACTTGGTTTGAACAGTAGAAATATAATGATATTTTCAGTGTCTAAAATCCGCACAGAAAGACAATTTGTATAATGTTATTGCTCACTGTTTAGCGTGTGTATATGTACAGCAACCTTGTAATTGGTAAGTTTTGCGAAGTGTATAGATTTTTTGAAGTCCAGTGTGTAGCTGCAAAAGCACTGCATGACGTTTTGGTTTCCAAAGATCTAAACAAGGTCAGGATCTTGCTATGAGAAGTGCCTAATGTATTTTATCCCCTGTTTTTTTTTTACCATTACATTGTCTTTCTCTTCTGTTGTTTGGCTTCTTTTTATCTTTTTTCTTTTCTTTATTTTGTATGTAAACATGTTTTGCCTAAAGTTCCATTTACATACTAATGATTGTAGAAATAATTTCCATCAGAAATAGATTAGATAAAAGTGTGAATCAAGATGAAACTAATTTTGAGGGATCATTATTTTGTGACAATTGAATATTCAGACTCTTTGTATATCTATATATATATATAATTTTTATTTATTTATTTATTTATTTTTTATTATTATTATTATTTTTTTGGTATTAGCACAGGAGTGTACTGTAGTGTGACTTGTCTTATTTGGAATGTTATCGGTGTTTTTCACTGAATTTTGAATCCTCAATCATGAATATTTTGCAGCTAAGAAATCTAGCTTACTGCAGGGATCTTGACCTTGGAAAAAAAATGGGATTGTTGTACAACTCCAGCATTGAAACTGCGGTATTTTTTTTCGTGTTTGCTGAACCATGACTGTGTGGTCTCTTTTTTCAAGTTATGTATTGCAGTGCAAAGTTATCCTTTTGCATCATTTTAAAGTTATTGATTATGCAGATCTTGTAAGATAACATTTGTTGCATGAATTGTCATATTCCTTGTGCAAATAATGTTCCTACACTGGTCAACTGTTGCACTTTTTTCTTTCTTTTTTTCTTTGACTTCATATGTGACATTGACCAGTTGTACATAATAGATCACTCTGGTAAATGATGTAACCTGATGCCGAGTTTAATGTTATTCAATGACATTTATTCTTATTCAAGATGTAATGGAGCTTTTGTGTCAGTAGCACATTCTGAAAAAGGCGGCCCACCCGAGCTCCAGTTTGAGAGATTGCAAAGGTCTCATAAAGCGAGGAATTAAAAAAAACAAAAGCTTCATTTCACTCCAGGGTTGGTGGGTATAGGGAAGACGTAGATAACCCAGCGTAGAAATACTTAGGAATTGATCTGAATTGAGATGGAATCTCACTGTTTTTTTGCCTGTTACATATTTCATCCTTTTTAGCCTTTGTCTATAAATTGGTTTTGATAGCCTTAAAGGTAGGACTGCAGTGTAGATTTGTTGCCATGAATTCAAACTTTATTGTTGAATCAGTTATACACATCATCTGATTTTATTCAGTGACATGTATACTGCATTTTTTCTATTCTATTTGTAAAAAAAAAAAAAAGTCATCAAAGTATTAAAAAAAAAAAAAAAAAAAAATCAAAATATGTGAATCTTCATGGATAAGCCGGGATATTTTAAGCATTCGTGAGCATGAGGTTCCTGGTGTACTTGCTGATGCACACTGACGTAGGTCTTCCATGCGGCCACTCTAAATACACTTTGAACTGTTATTGTATAATCTTGACATGTTATAGCATTGAGAATTTCACTTTTTCATAATGTCAAAGGTGAGACGAAGGGTCACTTATGACTTTTTAATTTATAGTTTCCACCTCATTATAAACAAAAAAATAAAATATAATAAGTCAGTCATATGTATGTGTATATATAGAGAGACATATTTAAGGTATTTAATTTTTTTTATGCATTTCTCATCTGTGTCACAAAGTGTCTAACAGCCACCTGTTGGTGTTGGTACATAACATAAAATAGTACTGGAAAAGGCAGTGTAATTATAATAAAAAAAAAGAATAAAAATGACCATAAGCTTTAAAAAGTTTGTTGTTAGGTCAGAGATGTCTGTAAATATATTGCTCACAATCATGTAAGCTTTTTATTATCCTGTTATATTTTCAGTGTCATTCAGTTTTTCATGGTCTTCAATTTTTACAGAATGAAGTGGAGAATTGTTTTATGTAAGTCAGTAACTATGTGTTACGTTTTAGCCCAAATGGAATTATCTGTAGGTATCAAGAGCAAAGCAGAGAAGTATGGAATAGGCGAGAAGTGAGAAAGAAAAAGATGAAAAAAATATCCATGTGTGATAACATGCAAGTGCGTTTTAGTATAAATGCACACTAGGGCATGTGCACATGAGCCCACGTGCACATGCACATATGTAATATTTAGATAGATACAGATAGGTGTACATATTCACAGTATACATTAACAGATAAATAGATATAAAGATAGGTAGAAATACACACAAGACACGACTTTCCAAGTTAGATCTTTAGAGAAAATATTGTAGAACTATATGAGAGAAAACGATATGGAGATGATAATAGTGATGTCAAAAGTCTAATTTACATTTCTGGAATTTAATTATCAATTAGAAAATATGCACCATTTATCATTTCCACTGTTTTTGATAATCACTAAAGCTATAATAGTGATAGCCGAAAGAACGAGGAAAACAAGTCATGAAGTAGATATTCTACGTTCTAATGACACCGTTTATTATTACTACACTTGCAATATTACCTCAGAGCAACTACAAACAATTGAGGTTAGCTAATAGTTCATATGGCTTAAGAAAACTCAACCTGAAACTATTACTGCCTATTTAAAACATTTGCCCCGAAATTTTTCTAGCATCACATATTGTGAATATTCCTGTTATGAAGTCGGACATGCATGTGCGATTTATGCTAATTCATTCAGTAACATTGTCACGATGACTAGAACTTAATCCAAAGCATGAAATATTATTGTTTAATGATACCAGTAGTTACGATATAGGATTAGGGATTGTTATGGGTTGTCGGTATTCCTTGCATTCGTGCACATTACACAAAACAGCTACATTTTGGCATCAAAGGAAGTTCACCAAATAACATGGAGTACTGTTTAACCTCATTAGCTCACTTCTAACCATTTAACAAGGCTCACCAGTTAACACCGAATTCACAATAACACAAAGTAATACAATAATAGCCCAAAAAATACTAACTTCAATTAAATAAATTACCCCCCCCCCCCCAAGTTTCACCTCCACTGCATGAACTTAGAATCGTACGGACTTCGACGTCGCTGCCGCCGCACACTCGACACCGAAGACGAACGCGGCCGCACACAGTCCCAGAAGCAAGAGCAAGAGGGGGCCTTGCATATGTACTATGGTGAGGGCCTTCGCGCGTCCGGCGTTACTGCTGTCTATTTCTTTCGCTTCTCCGTTCCCTTCTTCCTGTCTCTTGGCTTTTTCTCTTTGCTTTCTGCTGCTCTCTCGCCGGGCTTCGTTCAGGAGGTTCTGGCTCCATTGTTCGTAAAGGCCTGCCTGTTGGAGGTTTTGAAAAAGGGGGTTATGGCTGTTTGGACGGTGGGACGGATGGTGGGAGTATGGGTAGCCATACTAGGATTTAAGTTTGAGGCTCTCTGTCTGTCTGTCTGTCTGTCTGTCTGTCTGTCTGCCTGCCTGCCTGCCTGCTTGCCTGCCTACCTGCCTACCTGTCCCTCTATCTCTGTCTCCCTCTCTTCCTTCACCTGCCAGCCTCCCTTTCTTCCTCCCTTCATAACCCTCTCTCTCCCTCTCCCTCCCTACTTTCTACTCACCCCCCTCTCTCCCTCCTCTCTAACCACTGCCTACTCAATTTCAAGAAGACATTCTAAACCCACTCGAACAGGATCGAAACCTACTCAATAAGAATCCTAACCCACTCAAAAAGAACTGAAACCCACTCAATAAGATCCGAAACCCACCCAAACAGGATCGAAACCCACTCACCATCAGAACTGAAACACACTCAATAAGAACCGAAACCCACCCAAACAGGATCGAAACCCACTCACCATCAGAACTGAAACCCACTCAATAAGAACCGAAACCCACCCAAACAGGATCGAAACCTACCTCTATAACCGCCATGATGCACCGGTCCACCTGCGGCCGATAGGGGGCGTCGTGAGGAAGAGGCCAAGCAGACTGCCCGGGAATGATGCTGTCTCTTCCTATGTACAGCCTGGTGGTTCCGTCGGCGTTGGTGAATTTCTGGGCGATGTGGAGTAACTGGTAGCGCCTCGTGTCCAGGTGGGCCTGACTGGTGGAGGGTGAGTAGGGTGGTGGGGTTAGGGTGAGGTGGGTGGGAGAAGGCTCTGGGTGAATTAATTATTAATATTGTATTGTGCACGGTGTGAATACTAAAATCAAGCCTCTAAAAGAGATTAATAATGGATATTTAGTAAAGTAATGTTTGTTTCTCCTTTAAAAGACAGTCGGCATTTTCTTTTGTCTTGATCTGAATCAATATCAAATCATATACATTCGTAAATGTAAGGTAGTTAGGCCTGGCTTACAGTATCGAGGATATTCGCATATTTCAAACAGTAATAAAAAAATAGAGTGTACGAAAGAAATTGCATCAAATTTGTCACGATCAGTATCAACATAACTACCATCACTACGAACATTACTACTAGTACAATTACTAACATTCTCACTACCATCACCATTATCAATACCAAACACCATCACCATCACCCTGCTCCATCACAAAAAAAGAAGAAAAAGAAAAGAAAATGGCCTCACTTCGCCTCAATGGCCTGCCTCTGCCCCTCCTCTACAGACGACACAATATGCATCAGTTCGGAAAGTCTCTTGAAAACGGGAGAGTCCGACTTCCCGAAAAATGACTTGAATTCGGCGCCGTAGGAGGGCATCGTGATCCTGAGGGAGATGAGAGGGTTTGGGTAAGGCTAGAAGGGTTGGGGGTAAGGTAAGGTATGGTGGGGAAAAGGTTGAAAAGTTGGGGAAGATGGAGTAATTGGGGATTTTGGGGTTGAAAGATTCGGGGGAGGATGATATTTAGGGAAAGGTGAAAGGGATCGGAAAGTGAGATTAGGGGAAAAAAAAGGTAAACGTCTAGGTGAACTGAGACTCCGGCGTGGGTTTAGTTTAGGTAAGTTTAGGTAAATAATTATTAGGGAAAGGTAAAATTTGGGAGAGTTTGGGATTATGGAAAAAAAAGTAAAGATATACTGAGATTTGAGATTGGTAAAGTTTGGCTAAGTTGAGATAAAGTCTAAGAATTTAGGTTAAACTGTGTTTAGGGAAAATGAAAGCTTGGGTCAGTCGAGCTCAAGGAAAATTTGATTTGGCACAGTTAGGATTAAGGAAAAGGTAAAGACAAAGAATTACGTAAGAGGGGTTGGTAGGTTATGATGCTGATAACGAATCAAATATAATTCACTAGGATGGAAGGTATTTTTGTAATATATTCGGTGTGTATGTTTTTCCGCTCTTCCTATGTTACTGAGTATTTTGTACTACAATCAAGAATCTTATTTACTAGACTAATATATCTTGGCATAATATATATATATATATATATATATATATATATATATATATATATATATATATATATATATATATATATGTATATTGACATACAATATCTATATATCCATATACTGATATATATTGCCCTACAATATATATGTGTGTGTGTGTGTGTGTGTGTGTGTGTGTGTGTGTGTGTGTGTGTGTGTGTGTGTGTGTGTGTGTGTGTGTGTGTGTGTGTGTGTGTGTGTTCCGATATTGACTAGGTGTTCCTCTGAGTCTCCCGCTGAGTCTCCCGGGCATCTTCCCTCACCTGTCAGCTACGAGAACCAGCTGGGCGAGCGTCTCCGGCCTCGAAGGGTACACAGGCAGGGTGAGAGACGCCGTGAGGTTGCCCCTGTAAGCCGTGCCCACCACGAGGGAGAACACCAGCCACGCCCCTACCAGTACGCGCGCCCTGACGCTGGCGTAGAAGACCCTCGAGAGATTTTGTCCCAGGAACAGCCCGTAGACTTCCTGCGCCGCCTTGCTCAGGGTGAAGGGGCGTCCCTCGTTGCTCGTCGAGACACGCTGCTTGCCCGCTCCGATTATCTGAAGGGGGGGAGGGGAGGAGGCGTGTCTTCTGGTTCTGCTGAAGGAGGTTATTTTTTTTTCTCTGTTCGTTTTTCACACATACACGCATTCACACACACAACCAAACACACACACACACACACACACACACACACACACACACACACACACACACACACATACACGCACGCACACACACACACACACACACACACACACACACACACACACACACACACACACACACACACACACACACACACACACACACAAAACACACACACACACACTCTCATACATACACACATATACACACCACAAACCCACACAGATAAAATCAAACTCACCAGCATAACACTCCTCCCCCACCACCACATACCCCATACCTCGCCCCCCCCTACATACCCCATCCCCCTACCCTACCCCACCCCTTTACATACCCCATACAAGGAGAGCGGCACCACAACCACCGTCGCCAGGATGCCCAACCACACGGCATGCGACAGAGGGTAGTACAGACTCTGCCACTGGGGTTTGAAGTCCGGCTTGGCCTTGGAGAAGTCCAGGGAACCGAACTCGTACACGAAGGAGAACTCGTAGCGGTCGAGGCGGGCAGGGAGGACGTTGTGGAAGATCGGGGACAGGAAGGCCACTCGCTCGACTACCCGGTCGGCGACCTGGAGGAGGGGCGGAAGGAGGAGGAGGAGGAGGAGGAGGAGGAGGAGGAGGAGGAGGAGGAGGAGGAGGAGGAGAAGAAGAAGAAGAAGAAGAAGAAGAAGAAGAAGAAGAAGAAGAAGAGGAAGAGTAGGAAGGAGGAGGAGGAGGAGGAGAAGGAGGAGAAGGAGGAGGAGGAGGAGGAGGAAGAAGAAGAGGAGGACGAGGAGGAAGAGGAGGGGGAGGGGCGGAAGGAGAAGGAGGAGTAGGAGGAGAAGAAGAAGAAGGAGGAGGAGGAGAAGAAGAAGAAGAGAAGAAGAAGAAGAAGAAGAAGAAGAAGAAGAAGAAGAAGAAGAAGAAGAAGAAGAAGAAGAAGAAGAAGAAGAAGAAGAAGGAGGAGGAAAAGAAGAAGAAGGAAGAGAAGGAAATGGTAATAATGACAATAACAAAAACATCATCATAATGATAATAATAATAATAATAATAATCCAAATTCCAGTCTCACGCCCGCCCACCGACCTCCGTCCAAGTCTCCGTCGGCACAACCCTGAAGGTGAAGTTCAGAGCCTCCGCCGTGGCTTCGAGGAGCAGGAAGTCTGTGCCCGAGTATCTTCCTGGCGACGAGGCTGAAGGTTCCTCGAGGACGGACCAGTAGGGGGGGAAGGGAAGGGCTGTCACGTTGACGATGGCGCCGTAGAAGCTGGTCGGGGAGAAGGGGGAGGAGGGGGGGGAGAGAGGGGAAGAAGGAAGAAGGGGAGGAAGAGGGAGGAGGGAGGAAGGGGGAGGAAGAGGGAGAAGAGGAGGGGGAGGAAGAGGAGGAAGAGGGAGGAGGGAAAGGAGAAAGGGGGGATGGGGAGGGGACGAGAGAAAGGAGGGAGGGAGGGGAAGGAAGATGGAGAGAGGAGGGAAGATGGGAGAGAGGGAGAGAGGGGAGGGGGAGAAGACGAGGGGGAGGGGAAGAAACGATGAGGGAGGGAGGGAGAGGAAGATGGAAAGAGAGAGGAGAAGATGGAAGAGAGGGATAGGGACAGAGGAAGAGAAGCAAGGTAGAATGGTAGAGAGGGAGAGAGGTGGAAACAGTGTCATTAGGATGAAAAGAAAGGAGAGGGAGAGAGGAAGAAAGAATAGGGATTATGAAAGAGAGAAAGAGAAACGAAAGGAAAATACAAAGAATGGAGTGGGAGATAGAGACGGAAGGGAAGAAGAAAGGATAAGAAAGAAAAGAGAAACGAAGGAAAAATACAAAGGATGGAGAGGGAGATTGAGAGGGAAGGGAAGAAAAGATAAGAAAGAAAAGAAAATGAAAGAATGACATCTAATTAACGCAAAACAAACAAGAATTAACAATATAAACATGAACATAAATACAGTCTTCAGTCAAATCACATTCTATCTGGCTTACAACAACACTTACTTCGAAAACTTTTCAGGAAAAAGTCCACGTCCACTTCTAGTCCTCAGACCCGCAGCTGGCGTCCAGGTGGCCACACACACCAGCTGTGGCCCGGCGGGAGAATAGGGTAGATGGCTGTACATGTCCCATCTGCAAGGGATACGAGACCACGAAATTTTAAGCAAGATCGTGTAACGAGAAGGTATCAAAATCAGTTTATTTGTTTACTCTTAGCTGACAAGTAAATGTGGTGGAGCAATATTTACTAATCAATATTATTTAATCATTAGATACTTAAAAATAAAAACAATTTGGAACATATTAATACCGCTGAAAAGTTAATTTATTTATTCATTCGACTGATTCATACCCCTTTTGGTTGATAAAATAAATATATATATATACTCATGTGAAACAAGAACATTCCATTTACTCATATCTATTTTTTTTTATCAATAAATACATGCTCTAGAACACGATTATGTGCATAAAACTAGCAATGATACGCACAAAGATTTAATTATTCACTTTTCGCAGACATGTAATGACTTGAAACCAGATAATTCTTAATATTTGCAATTGCAAAGTTTTAGAATTAATTATTCGCTTCTAGAGATTTTGTTTTGATAAGTAAAGCGATATAAGAACAACAAACGTACAAACTAGTTCTCTGAATTGTTTTTTTTCGTATCATACAATACTAAGCATTCTTTCCTTAGCCATCTCATCTGGGGGTCAACTGCGTAATATATTTAGATCGAGACAAAAAACAAAAAACAATAAAAAAAAACATGCATTTACACAACACAGAATTAAAACCTGCTTAGTTTCAATCTATCTTTTGCTTTAGGAGGAAATTACTGGTAGCCACATGAACAACATTACAGTAAAAATGAAAAACTTAAAAGAGGAAGAGAAACGCAAAAAAATCCCAAATAAACAAAAGCCAATTCTAACTTTTGGAGCAGCCCCTCATTCTGAAGAACCACCACGACGGTGTTCATCATAGAGAAGACCCAGTAGGCCCCGAGGAAGGCGCGGAGTTCCTGCAGGGCCACGCTCGTCACCAGCAGGAGCTTCGTGGACCACACCAGCAGGCGGCCTCGAAGTGCCAGGTCGGCGAAGGCACTGAGGAAAGTAGGGTCGTCGCTCACCAGTACCACACACACGTCCCAGGACATCAGACGTTCCTGGAGGCACCGTCGGTATTATGAAGCCCAAATGGAGGAAAAAGAGAAAGAAAGAAAGATTGAAAGAGAGAAAGTAAAAGAAGAGAAAGAAAAGGTACAAGCAAAAGAAGAAAGAAGAGAAGGAACTACGTGAACCATGGACAAGAAACACACCGAGAGCACAAGAAAAAGAAAGAAAGAAAGAGAGAAAAGAAAAGAAGAGAAAGAAAAGGCACAAGCAAAGCAAGAAAGAGGAGTAAAAGAAGGAGGAGAAGAAACTACGTAAACCATGGATAAGAAACACACCGACAGCACCGAAACAAAACAGAAGAGCATCGCCTGCCGCCCTTGGGAATCGGCTCAATAAATCTGACCAAGAACAACAGATCTATCAAGCTGATTCCCTTAGGGTCGAGAGGCGCATGTAAAAAGGGGATCAGATAAAAAGGTTTGATTCTCTATTTTTCAGATCCTGAGGCTCCTTTGGATTTGTCTTTGCATTCCCTCCCATTGGTTGTATACACAAATACATACAAAGACACGTATGGATAGAGATATTCAGAAAGAAGTGTTATTTATGAATGCAGAGATAGATACTATTCATAAATATAGATAGACATACTATTTATGATAGAAATATTCTTGATAAATATAGATGGAAATATTGGTTATGACTACAGACAGAAATATTATTTTGTAAATATATAGAAATATTATTGATAAATAGATGGAAATATTGTTTATAAATATAGAAAGAAATATTATTTTGTAAATATATAGAAATATTATTGATAAATAGATGGAAATATTGGTTATGACTACAGACAGAAATATTATTTTGTAAATATATAGAAATATTATTGATAAATAGATGGAAATATTGGTTATGACTACAGACAGAAATATTATTTTGTAAATATATAGAAATATTATTGATAAATAGATGGAAATATTGGTTATGACTACAGACAGAAATATTATTTTGTAAATATATAGAAATATTATTGATAAATAGATGGAAATATTGGTTATGACTACAGACAGAAATATTATTTTGTAAATATATAGAAATATTATTGATAAATAGATGGAAATATTGGTTATGACTACAGACAGAAATATTATTTTGTAAATATATAGAAATATTATTGATAAATAGATGGAAATATTGGTTATGACTACAGACAGAAATATTATTTTGTAAATATATAGAAATATTATTGATAAATAGATGGAAATATTGGTTATGACTACAGACAGAAATATTATTTTGTAAATATATAGAAATATTATTGATAAATAGATGGAAATATTGGTTATGACTACAGACAGAAATATTATTTTGTAAATATATAGAAATATTATTGATAAATAGATGGAAATATTGGTTATGACTACAGACAGAAATATTATTTTGTAAATATATAGAAATATTATTGATAAATAGATGGAAATATTGGTTATGACTACAGACAGAAATATTATTTTGTAAATATATAGAAATATTATTGATAAATAGATGGAAATATTGGTTATGACTACAGACAGAAATATTATTTTGTAAATATATAGAAATATTATTGATAAATAGATGGAAATATTGGTTATGACTACAGACAGAAATATTATTTTGTAAATATATAGAAATATTATTGATAAATAGATGGAAATATTGGTTATGACTACAGACAGAAATATTATTTTGTAAATATATAGAAATATTATTGATAAATAGATGGAAATATTGGTTATGACTACAGACAGAAATATTATTTTGTAAATATATAGAAATATTATTGATAAATAGATGGAAATATTGGTTATGACTACAGACAGAAATATTATTTTGTAAATATATAGAAATATTATTGATAAATAGATGGAAATATTGGTTATGACTACAGACAGAAATATTATTTTGTAAATATATAGAAATATTATTGATAAATAGATGGAAATATTGGTTATGACTACAGACAGAAATATTATTTTGTAAATATATAGAAATATTATTGATAAATAGATGGAAATATTGGTTATGACTACAGACAGAAATATTATTTTGTAAATATATAGAAATATTATTGATAAATAGATGGAAATATTGGTTATGACTACAGACAGAAATATTATTTTGTAAATATATAGAAATATTATTGATAAATAGATGGAAATATTGGTTATGACTACAGACAGAAATATTATTTTGTAAATATATAGAAATATTATTGATAAATAGATGGAAATATTGGTTATGACTACAGACAGAAATATTATTTTGTAAATATATAGAAATATTATTGATAAATAGATGGAAATATTGGTTATGACTACAGACAGAAATATTATTTTGTAAATATATAGAAATATTATTGATAAATAGATGGAAATATTGGTTATGACTACAGACAGAAATATTATTTTGTAAATATATAGAAATATTATTGATAAATAGATGGAAATATTGGTTATGACTACAGACAGAAATATTATTTTGTAAATATATAGAAATATTATTGATAAATAGATGGAAATATTGGTTATGACTACAGACAGAAATATTATTTTGTAAATATATAGAAATATTATTGATAAATAGATGGAAATATTGGTTATGACTACAGACAGAAATATTATTTTGTAAATATATAGAAATATTATTGATAAATAGATGGAAATATTGGTTATGACTACAGACAGAAATATTATTTTGTAAATATATAGAAATATTATTGATAAATAGATGGAAATATTGGTTATGACTACAGACAGAAATATTATTTTGTAAATATATAGAAATATTATTGATAAATAGATGGAAATATTGGTTATGACTACAGACAGAAATATTATTTTGTAAATATATAGAAATATTATTGATAAATAGATGGAAATATTGGTTATGACTACAGACAGAAATATTATTTTGTAAATATATAGAAATATTATTGATAAATAGATGGAAATATTGGTTATGACTACAGACAGAAATATTATTTTGTAAATATATAGAAATATTATTGATAAATAGATGGAAATATTGGTTATGACTACAGACAGAAATATTATTTTGTAAATATATAGAAATATTATTGATAAATAGATGGAAATATTGGTTATGACTACAGACAGAAATATTATTTTGTAAATATATAGAAATATTATTGATAAATAGATGGAAATATTGGTTATGACTACAGACAGAAATATTATTTTGTAAATATATAGAAATATTATTGATAAATAGATGGAAATATTGGTTATGACTACAGACAGAAATATTATCTTTTTTGTAGATGCAGGTTTTTCTTTCCATTTACAAGCAAAGGTATCGAGTTGGATTTCCGAGTTCTTCCCTACTTTTTTTTTCTTTCTTTTCTTAAGATTTGTTACTATGTTTTCAATTACAGTTTTCTTCAGTTATTCCTTATTTATATCCTACTCCTACTCTCTCTCTAATCACTCCAGGCGCCAAGGCCGATCTTATTACTTTAAACAAAAAATCACTTTTTTTTTACTTCCGAGAACGGCCGGCATATTGTAATGAAAACGTAAGTTGGCTATAGAATAACACTAATGGACACTTTCTTTCATTTTATTGATTTGCTTATTCCTTAATTCATTGGATTTTTTTATCTCTGTGTGTGTGTGTATTTGTGTGTGTGCGTGATCAAGATGAAAAAATAATTGTTTTCGACCCATTATATGAAGGACTGCAACATTCGCTCTAAAAAAATCAATGAGACATATCGAAAACGCTCACTTTTAGGGCACAAGGATCGGGAAATGATCGTTAATATAACATCATCGTTCAGTGAAACGAGGTGAAGATCAACTTTCGCTCTCTCTCTCTCTCTCTCTCTCTCTTTCTGCCTTTCTCTGTCTCTGTCTCTCTCTCTCTCTTCCTCTATCTCTCTCTCACTCACTCACTCTCACAAACTTTCTTTCTCTCTCTCTCCCTCAATCACTTTCTCCATCTCTTTTTTTCTCTCTTTCTCACTTTCTCCATCTCTTTTTTTCTCTCTTTCTCTCTCCCTTCTCCCTCACTTTCTCCCTCCCTCTCACACCCTCACTCTCAAAACTCACCCTCTCCTTCAACCCCACTCTCTCCCTCTTCCTCTCACCCTTACCCTCTCCCTCACTTACCGGCAGAATCGTAGTAGAGTCTTGCGCCCATCGAAGGTCCCAGGGAATCCAAAACACACGCCAAAAGAAAGAACAATTTTTCCGCCATTTTTCTGGGTCAGGAGCCGGTCAGTGACGTCCTCTGGGAAAAGAAGGTGGTATGTGTATATATATATATATATATATATATATATATATATATATATATATATATATACACACACACACATACTTATACTGTGTTTAAAAGGATGATTTTTTTGTGCATGGTATTTTTGTTTAGAGAAATGTTTACAGAATTTAGTGAATTATACTGTATTGTGATGTATATTCATTCCACAAAAAAAAACGGTTATTAATGATGAGAGTTTAAATAATCCTTTACCTAACACCCACCCACACCCACGTCCTAGTTTTCATTCCTTTCAGTGTACTCTCTGTGTTTTTAAGTACCATTACAACGTAAAAACATACCTCTATACGTAAAAATCTATGATAGCAAAGTACTGAACTTCATTGTTTTTTTTTAGACTGTCGTTTTGGGAAAAAAATTTGCTGCCTGGAGATGGGAACGAAATAATTATAGCAACTGTAGTATGTAAATGACGAAACAAGTGGATTACTATATATGATAGGAGATTTCGGATTTACAGTTCCCAGAAAGAAGTAACGATATATGTTTTTAATACCTTCCTATCCTTACTTATTTTCTTACAGTGTTACAGTGTTACCAGCAATATTCTAAACTTTATCTTCCCTTCAGAAATTGCGTTTGTTATTGCTGCTATTCTTACTGTTGTTGTTATCCTTGTTGCTATTATTGTTATTTTTAGTGTTATTACCATTATAATTATTACTATTATTAGTATTATTGTTGCTACTGTTAATACAATTAT